AGCTGCTTAAGGCCATTGTGTCGATCGCCTGCTCCAGCTTACTCCTCAGCCGCTGCCTCCGGGCCTGCTCGTCCTTCTCCAATGCAGCTAAAATCTGAGGGGAGAGAGGGAAGAAGAGGGAGTGACGAGATGCTCTCCTACCCAAAGCAGCTCCTCGTTGCCCGTGGCTGCGCTGGCTCATCTGTGGCATCGGGGCGGGGGGAGGGGACCCCACGGGAAGCAGCACGCACTCATTCCCATCCCTAACGTGGCCAGAAAAGGGCCAAAGGAGGCATGAGGGGGAGGACACTGCTCCCAGTGCTGCCACTTCACAGACAGAGTCTCCCCGGATCCCCACGAGGCTGCAGTAACACCAGGGACCTGTTTGATACTAATGAGAAGCCACCTCGCAGTCGGAGAAACAAGGAAAACAAACACTCATCATCAAATGGAGGGTGAACCCCAAAACCAAGACAATGATGCCTTCCTACCATGTCTGTCCAGCAAACTCATAACATCCTAGGGAGGCAGGGGCTACATTTCAGAGACCACCATCAAGCCCCGAACTTGTTCCACAAGCACAAAAAGACCAAATCCACAAGGCTTCGGCTGCCACCAGTGGTAAAAATCCCACTGAGCTCTTCCCAAGGTGGACAACTGGGGGGCACTGGGGTGATCGAGAGGGACACCAGAAGGATGTATCAGCAAAGCCTGCCTTTCTGGGAACCCTCAATCCTGTGCGAAGGGTGTGCCCACAGATACCTGAGGATGACTTTCCTCCCTTGAAATCCCAAGCTCCAATCCTTCCTTGAAATCCCAAGCTCCTGGCCGTCACAACAGATCGCAGGGTGGAGGGATGGTCCCCTGCCCTGGGCTGGATGTGACCAAGCCTCCAGGGCCAGAGAAGGACTGGAAGCAGCGGGAGGGTGGAGAACAAGGCTCAGAGTGGGGAGAATGAAGTAACAAACCGTAAAACGGAGGGGCAGTTGCCCTCCCAGCAGCCAGGAGTCTCGTCTCACTAACACCATGCCAGCAGAGCAGAAAAGCTATTTAAAAAAACAAACCTGACAGAAATCTCATCTCCTCGGGTGAGCTAGTTGAGAGAGCAAATTTTTTGCAATTAAATATCAAGGCATCCGTCAAAGGGGACTTGATTAACCATTTCATTGGCCGCATAATTGGAAACAAACTGTTGTATAATTAATAGACTTACTGGGAGGCAGGCAAAGTCCATCAGGAGCCCTACAGGTAACTTCTTAATGGGGAATCAGCTCCCTTTGATTAAGAGCTGCTGCGGTGCCGGCGGGCTGCGGAGCGGCGTGCGGGGTGTGCTGGGCTGTGCAGCATCCTCCCCTCCCTGCCACACGGCAGCCCCCGGCCACCGCCAGGCTCTGGCTCTCTGCCAGGATTTCTGGGACAGGATCAGGCTGGTACTTGTCTGCTGGGGCAGTAAGAGAGGCCCGATGGAGGTTCTCTCCCCAGAGGAAAGCGGAAGCTGCACCTCGACGCCGGCATCGGGTCCCAAGGAGGGGACTATTCGCTGGCAAGAGGCAGGCACATCTGAGTTACCTCTTCTGGCAGCAACAACCCCGGGCTGCAGCTGGACTCGCGAGAGCTCATTCATTCTGCCACAAACCTGCTACTGGGGACACTCCCCCACCATCCTTCTTCGCAGCCACTGTCGGCCATCACACTATGTGATAAAATAACTATAATAGCAGCCATGAAGAAATCAAAACCCCATGTCTGAAAGGTGGCTGAGCTGGAACCAAATGTGTCTGGTCCGAGAGGTGGAAGAGCAGCCTATTCCCTTCACTCGTTTCCTCTGCCTCCTCTGGTAAGACACTTGTTTAACCCAAGATGCTGACGTGTCAAAAGATTCACAACTTGCCCCTGCATTTATTTGCTCGTCTTCTATCTCAGCCTTCACAGAAACAAGACAGGCAAAGGAAACCTGTGCTGAGCTTAGACACACACACAGGTTTGTCACCTGCTGTAAGGAGCCAGGACCACTGATTACTAAGATGCGAGTACCCAAATAAAAATTAATTATGATTTTCATCCACAGCCAATGACAGCATATTATTGCTCTGAAGAACAGGAAAAATTATTCTCTCCCATTTTGCATCAAAGAGGGTGCAATCGGGCTGCATATAATTGTGCTTAATGAATGAAAACAAACAAAGGGAACAGCTGCGATTTATTAATCCCATTACAAATAATAAAAGAAGTTCCTGAGAGCTGTGAACACACTTGTGATGCTTGGAGAGCAGGCAATGGCAAGACACTCAACAGATGTCAAGCTGCCGTTAGTGGGCAAGAAGAGGACCTGTGCCCCTAAAGAGAAGCTCGTTAATGCTACATAGTCCCCTCCCTCCCCTCTCCCAGGGCTTGGAGGATTTATTTAAGGCTTGGGGGACTTTTAGCCTAGATTCTTCTTGGCTAAAAGCACTTGACAATGGCTGAGGGATGACAGCTGCCCCACAGCAAACCTAGAACATCCAGACTGCTCCACTTCCACTCTCCTGGTAGCCAGAGCATTGTTGTACAAACAGTAAAACCCTCAAAATCCTTCACAGCCAACACACAGAGCTATGGGGATCTGCTGGGATGTGCCATCCCATGTCACTTCTGGAGTGGCACAGAGGTCCCACCAGCACGGCCACCAGCTGTACCACCACGTGGCATCTTCCCAAGCACCAGGGCTTCCTCCCATCCCTGTGGGCAAGCCAGGCCCTCCACCTTCTCCTCCTCACTCCTGCAAAGCACCTAGTTCCACAAGGAACTAACCGACCTTAGACCGAGAGGCCAGGTGTGCTATGACCTGCCCATCATAATTCACACCTGCCTAAATTCACACCTCAGAGAGGCTCTGGAGATGCCTCTCAGGATTGCTGCAGGTACGACAAGGACCCTGTTTCCTCTCCCTGTGCGGTGCGAGGCCGGCTCTTCTGGCTCTCTCCAAGCAACGAGAGGTTCTGGCACTCTGTCACTTAAACAAGCCAGCATTCAAACAAAATCAACAATCCCCTTTATTGGGACAATATACTATCATGTTATATGTATAGGTCTATATTTTATTGCTTTAATAAAAAGATGCGGGGTATGAATTTGAGCAGAACCTTACAAAGTTCCTTTGTATAAATTACAACAAACAGGTTTTTAACCATTCTGACGGATGTTCACAAAACGAGCACTGAAGAGGCCACCACATCCTCTATCATCCCCAGGGAGCAGACCCACACATCACCTGTACAATCACACGGTGGTGGCACCACCACAGCGCCGGGTCAGCGGCAGTGGATAGAGGAGGTATGCTGGGATAACACCGTGAACTCTGCAGCCCAACAAAGGTCGTGCCAAATACATAGAAAAATAAGTGTTTTCCATATCACTCACTGCAGAAAAATATGGTGCTGCCTACATCACTTCCTGGCTCTGTGCCTCCCAAACCTTTCCTTCCCCACCAGCCCAAGCACAGACATGGACTACGCTGCTCTCCCACATTTCACAGGGTATTGTCCTATGGGAAAAAGCAGCAGACTGTAGAAAGGGATACAGCTCACAGCCCAGGCCTGACTCCCCACCTTACCTCATCCTTGTACTTGGTGATGTAGGAGTAGATCTCATGCAGCGCGCTCATACTGTTGAACTGGCTGAGGTGTAACCGCGACTGCTCTGCCAGATACGCACTCATGTCCTGGTCACTGATAGCTGGCATTTTAGCTATATCTGCATAATATCTGCAAGGGGGATAAAGAAGAATGGGTCAGAAATAGGGATAGAGAGAAAGGGACGGGTCTTTGCCGCAATGCTTACTGAGAACAGCCAGTGGAAGGCAAGGTGAGGAGTATCTTGCTCAAGATCTGCAGAGCAGTGAGCATCATTAGGAACGTACTCCTGAAGAAGCAGTGACCAGCCCAGCTCATCTTGCTGAGAAGCCAGGAGCTGCTGCTCTGAGAGACTTCCCATCCTCTTCTAAACCACACATTTTCCCTCCTTCCCATCCCATGGGCATGTTTTGCCACCAAACTGCATCCACCAGAATCCTCCACACCTGCAGCAATCTGTGAGGCTTTGCTACCATTCTCCTAAGGTCCCTGTGTCACTAACACCATTTTGCATTCAATTAAATACTTGGTGCATGAACACAAAACAAGTTCACATCCAGCCCTTGCAGCGATACACGCCTGTGTAGTTACGTCTTCCTCAGCACAGGCATTCAACACAGCCTGCAGCTGCTCTGGCCAAGATCAGAAGTTACCACTCAGCAAAAAGCTACAAGGAGCTTCCATTTTCAGTGGAAAATGATGGTCTGCAGACACAAAAAGGGTCCTCCAGCAGAGGAAGCAGCTGATGTCTTAGGGGATGCCTTGGTGCTTTCCTGCCTTCCTTGTGCTTCTCTGATGGTTACCACCACCAGGATACTACATTACATTCCCTAAGACACCTTAAGATTTACAGTCCTATCCCACAGCTGCCTCACTGACATGCTCAGCAAACACAGAGGAACCCAGACACAGCCTATACGGTCCAGAATCCTGGTGGCAAAACAGAATACCCAATAAGATAGTCATCCAAACCCAGGGAGTTCAAAGCTGCAGCATTCCATTGCAGCGGGAGGGTTAAACAGAGCAGGTGCACCAGTGGACTGGTCACTGAGGTCCTTTTGGAACCAGGGTTGCATCCACAGGCCTCTATTATAAAAGAAATCCTATCCACAGCAAACGAGTCCCAGCGGCTCCCACCACCTGGAAATACAGAGTGCCAGTCTCTCTCAGGTTTGCTTTACTCCTCTTGACTCATTACGCAGTGAAGTTTCTGGTACAGTGATTAGCATCATTAGCATCATCAGCCGAATGCTGAGATGGAACATGGCTAAAGCACTTGGAGGGGAGCAGATGGCAGCAAGACCACTTGAGGAGATGAATACGAGGATCCACTTCATCCCACAGTGCTGAACTCAGCTAGTGATAAAATACTTGGGCAGTTTTTACAAGGAGGCTCATTCACACACAGAAAATGATGGAAGAGATTTCCTGGATGCTGCCAAGAGAGCAGAGGTCTGAGGTGAGGACCTCTGACTAAACCAGGCATCGAGAGACCTGCTACATCACTAGACAGACCACCTCCAGAGCAACATCTCCTAAAGCGTTTGAAGTTTCTACCCGTGCTGAGGAACATCAGGGACAATACACCCAACCCTCTCAGTTCCAGCCAACTTTGACTGCAGAAAACCCCACAGGGCTCCTCCTGGCCACCCTTCATTCCCATAGGTGACGGCCCTTGTGGGGAGGGACTCATGGGATATGAATGTACGAGGGAGATCTGCTGAAGAAGAAAGCTGCCACAACAAGATGTCCAGGTACCACATGGCAGTTTCACGTTCTGCATTTTATCATGACACAAAGGATGGCAGGAAACCCTCATTTTTCAACACAAGGGCTCGTGTGGACCAAGATCTCAGTCACACCTACCATTTCCAGAGGACACCTATCACAGCCGTGATCCCGGCATCTGTCACCTTGGGTTTCCCCAGGCTCCCCACCTCCCAAGCCCTTTGCTGTGCTATTCCTGCCTCAGACTGGCAGGATGCCCTTTATTCAGCTGGTGCCTGAACCACGGCGGCAGATAGACCTGCTGTCGGGATGAGCAGTCCCACTCAGCTTCCCCCGCATCATTCCCGTCCTGCCTCTGCAAAGCTTTGTGATGATAACGGTGCCAAAAGCCAGAAATACTGATTACATCATAAATCCTTGCAGTAGAGAAGAGGTAGGAGACACAGTCACACCCCGCACAGGGAAGCTCCAGGACCATGACAGCAGTAAGCAGTGTCAGGAACATCTGTCACCGGTGAGATCTCCCACCTCCTTCCCAGGGACACAGCGTATCTACAACAATGTCTAACTCTGGAATGGTTTTATAGTTGTTTTGTTGGGTTTTTTTTCCAGGCACACACAGAGCCAAATACTTTTGTCATAGAGATGGCAAGGTCAGGGTAATTCACCTCATGAAGTTTGTGATGCTCCTACAGGACCCCACTCCAAAGCCCCCTGCAGCTCTCCTGCAACAAACTTTCTCCTATTACAATGCAGCTCATGTCAGCCATCATACTTCAGGGGAATCTTTTTAGTTCTGATCCAAGCCCTTTATTCCTTGAGGGAAGAAGCTTGTCTTTGTATCTGCCTGCAAAGCATCAGGCATGCCACTGGTGTAACAAAAATAACCGTGTACAAGCAAGTATCCAACTCCAATAGGCTACAAAGTGCCATGCTTACAAACTAGATAATATAATGCTTATTGTTGCTTGGACATCTTTTATTTGGTCCATTTTGTATACAGCCTAGATGCTGAAAAAGGATCCTCAGTCAAAAAGAAGAAAAAAAAAAAGAGTATGATCCATAGCACAGCATATCAGCACAAGGGGAAAGTTGCATCAGCAACCTGAAATCGGTCATTTTTAAAGCTTGATGAAGTCCTGCTTCTCAAGACAGCAACATTTTAACAGTAGCTCTGTTTGGAGGGCTTTGGAGAACACCTCCTAGGTTCCTCTCCCAAAAGCATAAAGCTCAACACAGCATTATGCCTGAAAGCATCAATTTGCAATCAGCAGCATTCAAACCCTGAACCGTTAATACTGTATTAATTCAGCGGGACAGAAGGATGTCTCTCTTCAGCTAACAGTGAGCGCGGAGGGTGTCGGAAGGAGTCAGGGGACCTGCTCCTCGGCACAGCGGCAGCAGCCTGAGCACTGCCTCAGAGCGTGTGCTCTCATCAGGATCCCAGGAGAGATGCACTGATGGATGAGAGATGGGAAATGGTAATTTTCAACCATTTCAGCAAAACCTGTGTGTATTGTCATGGTACAAAAAAGGCACTTTAGTCCAAGGTTGACTTCTCACTGCTCTTCAAAAGTGATCAAGGGAGGTGTTAGCAATTCCCTATCACAGACCAAGTTTTCACAACAGAAAACATCAGACAACCAAAAGTGGAGGTTGCTTTTAGCACCCCTTAAGCAAGTCAAAAAACCCTCTATCAAACAGTCATTGCAAACTCATTCCAGGAGACAATCATGAGAAAGCATCACCTCCCAAGTAAGAGGATCCTCTTCCACAAAGCGTTAGTAAGGACCCTCCTTCCAGGCAGCTGCCAAGAGTCCTCCCAACAACCCAAGTCCCCGCACCCACATACATCCACAGCAGGTCCTCCAGGTGAAGGAAGGAACTACTGCCAAGTCTACTCACCTTTCTACCCAGCTCTTGTAGTTGGGGATGTCCTTGGCGTACAGTAGTTTGTTGGAAGGAGAGTCTTTTCCTAGCTTGTGCTCAGAAGTTGAGCAGGAGTCCATGAATGTCTGAGCTACCACAGATAGGCAGGCATCAGTAATACTGTTCTTGTGAATGTCGAACACAAACTGGGGGTTCTTAATCACATTCACCCAAAAACGTAGAGGTAGACTGAGGAATGAAGGAAACAGGAGTCAGCACCTGAACAAAGCTCTGCGGGGCAGGTGGCACACACATGCACTTCCAGTTGTGGAAAAGCAGCTCCCCATGACCCAGAATTGGGCAGGCTGCTTCCCAGCACCCCAGAGATGCAAACATCCTGGGAGAAATGGCCATTCCCCTCTGGCCACAGCTCTGGAGAAGTTCCTTGGCATTGCCAACATCTCTGAAGGCAAACCAGGGCAGACAGGGCTGCACTTTCATTGAGGATCCACTCATACTGAAGAGCCCTTGCTGAGCCCATGGGTCAAACCAGGCACAGTCCCCTTCCCTCACATCAATAATCCCTCTGAAGGCGCCGTGTGGCATTTCACACACTTCCCATGTCGGAGAAGGGAGTTAACTGGACTCCTCAAGGGACTCATTAGCACATTTACCACCAGAGGAGAATTTAGGCAGCCTCAGGTGCTGGAAATAAAGCTCTCAGCTGCAGAGGCAGCAGGTCTCCCGGCCAGCCACCGGTTTGAAGTTTGCTGCATATTGGCACACGTGCCATCCTCCATGGCTCCGTTTCCCAAACCTGCGGCTCCTCTCCTCTCCCAGGAGCACCTCAGGGCCTCCCCCTATCAGAAAGCCCCCCCCACTTCACCATCCCTCTGCACCAACACCCAGCGAATGCTTTTATCTTAGACAAAACACACTTTGTTCCCCAAGACTTTCCTAATGAGGGTACCGGGTGCATGTACATATTTCATTTGTGAAGGGAATGGCCTCGAGAAATTAGCTCCACACATCGAATTAGTGCCCAGAGATAAGCACAGGCATTAGTATGCAGGAGCCTGCATGCCCAGCCCCTGCGGAGCGGGGCTTTTTTCTCCTCCCTTGCCTTTCGCTCCTTCTTTTAATATAGAAAGCCCAGTTATAAATCAGTTCCAAGCGCTTCCTCGCGCTCACATCTCCATTTAAAAATGTTTCTTTTCCTGCCCCGCTAATTGCCAACAGTTACTGAACTACACAAAAGCAATTTGGCTGCCATTTAACAAATGCCAGACACGGGAACGTACGTACCCGTCTCCAGTAACGGCAAGATCAGAGAGATGAAATCAGCGCGGCAGCAGAAAAGAAAAACGCCGAGGAGGGGCTGCGGCGCAGGAGCCAGCCCCTGCCGGAGCCCTGGCCCGGCACTCACGGAGGTCTCCCCGCCGCTCCGCTCAAAAAAAAAGAGAGCGATTAGCAGAGCCGAGGGGCTGCCTCCGTGGGCAAGGTTAAGGAGGATGCACCCATGGCTTGACGCCGACTTTGTTAGGGCACGCTCGGCTGAGTGACGGGAGGGAGCGTGGAAACACCTTTAGGACAGTGGAGACGAGAATCGGGGCTGGCAGGTCTGGAGGAACCCGGAGGATGGAGAAGCCTGAGCGGCGTTTGCCACGGGTGAGATGGAACCAGAGCTGCTGCGCTCCTCGGCTCGCTCCAGCCGTCAGAGGGAGCATTGGTGCCCAGGATGTGGGGATGGAAGGGCTGGGGGAGCATTGCATTCCTGGGATTTTTTTCTGCTGCAGGAAGGCATGCAAGAGATTTACCCACACCCGAAATACAGAGATACGGGCCTCTCTTGTCCTGGACCATTTCCAGGGACATATTTCTGCTCCCTGTGGGAGGGGCTGGAAGTATCACTACCTGTGGTATCACTAGCCCACCCTCCCTGTCGCACTGTCCCTCGCCATTACCAGTTACTCTTCCAGGTGTGCCTGACATCGTAGTCATTGATCTGATGCTTATCAGCTTGTTCATCCAGGAAATCAAACATGTATTTGATGGCAAGAGGCAGCGCGCTCCCACGATGTGCTGTGCTGAAGATGGTCTCAAAAAGGTCATCCACGAATTTCTGCAGAGTGCCCTGAGGAGGAGAGAAGGGTCAGTAACACCCAGTGCCAGCAGAGGGGAGATGGCTGAGCCAGCCAGCATCCTCAGGAGAGCCCTCCGCTCCTCTCTAGGGATATCTCAGACACACAGCACCCACTCAACACTAGAGGTTTTCTAGCTGCTGAAGGAAGGGGAACCTGCTGTAATGTCAAATTCCCCAAGTAATTATCCTTCCCACATCATTGATTTTGCAGCTTTATCCCAATCACCAAAAGGGATGAGGTGCCTGTCCCAGGGCATCTCTAGTTTGCAGTCCAGTAGCTGCTCAAGGATACAGGAAACTGTTAAAATGCCAACAGGTGCAAAAAGCAAATAAGAAAATCCACTCAAGGGATATTCACTGAAGGTTTTGACACAAAAACATCACCTCCAGCTCAGGAAAGAAACCAAGAGAGTCGCTTCTTCTGTGCTGAAGCCAAAAGCTAACAAAAAAGCAGTGCTTACCACTTTCGGACAACTCAAATCACTGAGATTTGAAAAGCCAGGTGGCAGCTGTGTATCTCTGGGCCATACCTTGGTGGCTAAGAGGCGGGTCAAGTAGATTTCGGAGACCATCTTGCTGCCCCGGTCACCCTCCCGCTGGTCCATGTGGTCGTGGTTTTTCACCAGGTGCCAGAGCTTGGTGCCGCTCTCCAGGTCGGGGGTGATCATGGGGGTCCGCGAGCGCAGGCTGTCAGGGCTGCTGGCTGTCCGCAGCATGCTCTCTGCAAGTACCAAGCAGAGGGGACGCTCATACCCTGCCCACATCCACCTCACCACCATCCCATCCATCTCCCTTCCCTCCACTGTGGCTTCAGGGCACAACATGGCCATGAAACGGGAGCTTTGGGATCCAGTCTCTGCAGTCACTGTCCACTGGAAGCTCTGGTGGGATCATCCTCGCAGCCTGTCAGACTATGCTCAAGCCTGGCTGGTGTTCAGGAGTCAGAATCACCATGGAAGAGTTTCTGCAGAGGTCTGTCCTGCTCCCAGCATGTAGATCACAGATGCCTCCTGTGTCAGTCAGAGCTGACCACACTTCCAAACCAAGGCTCAAGTACACTTGCCAGTATGTTCACTGGAGTCCTCAACTCTGCTCATTTAAGTGCAAAGTGCCTCTGTGCCTATTTTAAATAGATTTCAGGGGAACAAAAGAGAGGTGATCCCTCGGCAGCAACATTCTAACATGTGTCTTTCTCCCCCAAGTCTGACACATTGCAAAGAGAGATGGCTCTGAGGGCATCTCCTCCTTCTCCAACACCAGAATAAACAGCATGGTGCAGGAGAGATGGCGGTTTGGAGGACCTTATTCATGTGAGCCATGGTTACAATCCCCTGTCCTGTGTCTTGTTGTGCAAGCCCAGCCCAGTGCTGTCGCTTTGGCCAGCACAGCAGAGGATGCTCCTGTGCACTCACCGTATCTGCTGAGGGACTTGGTGAAGGTGGAGGAGTTGGAGATGTTGTATGCTGAGTTCTGCTTGGGCACCAGGGCTACCGAGGAGCCGTCTGTCACCTGGGGACCAAGATGGAGTGAGCAGGCTGTGACACTGGAGGGGCATGGGAGGAACAGCCCCACAGTGAGGAGAAACCAGCCCAGAAGGGATGAAGCTACACTGTACCCCCACCTCAGGGACATCCATCTCCAGCAAAGGAGACCACCTATCTACCTCTGTCTGCGGCAGCTCGGGGGAAGGGGTCAGAACAGGAACACACCAGAACGCCTGGCATGAAAATGGCAAAGGTGAGAGCAAGAAACAGCCTGTGTGAGCCCTAGAAATGACCCATTTAGTGCTTCCTTGAACAGAAGGACCATAAACATGGGCCCCAGGCAGAAAAGTGACTACAGACCTCCTGGCCATGCCCCTGTGTGAGCAGAATGGCCTGGAGAGCTGAGCCCAGGTCCTGACCAAGCTGAGGAGGGAGAAGAGGTGCTCAAGCTCAAAGCAGCTGGGGACTGCCCAATGCTCTCCACAGCTCACCTGGTAGTGGGCCAAGGTGTTTAGCCTCTTCCAGTCATTGTCGATCTTCGTGGTGACATCTTCATCCTGCAGTATGATCCGGGCCATCCTGCCCTGGCGCCACTCTGTTCCCATGAGGGAGAAGGGATTGTGGTTAGTGGGGGGATTGGAGGACAAAGCTGAGGCAAGGGCAGGAGCATCATATGGGTATCAACAGAAGAGTCCTCCCACCACCTTCTGAACCCCAGGACTGACAACTACCAATAGGATGTTGGGCAAAAGCTGTCTCTAAGTACTCAAGGAAAGGTTGATTTGACCCTGACAACTATCCCTTTGCTCCTCTCCTCTTCGTTCTCCTGCCACTTACTTAAGAACATGACTAATAACACTGTTCTCAGCTACTGCTTGTACCTCAGTCGCCTCAAGCCTGCAATCCAGACCATACTAGAGCTGAGGAGGCTCCTCTCCCCATCCTCTGTACTGGCAGGACCCGACCCCACACTCTCCTGCCAGGGGCCCCACACACATTCGGTGCCACTAGCACAGCAAAAGTGGACTGGACCAGTTCTAGTCCTGCCAGGTTCCTGCTCCTGTAGGAGATGAGGATTTTCCTGCCTTGAACAGATTTTTTGGCACTTCTGCTCTTAGTCACATCCCTTAGGGAAGTTGCTTGGCCTCGCTCTTACCCAAGTCCATGTCTCCAGCTTTGGGTCGCTGGGAATAGGGCACCCCTTTGTAGACAGCATCCAGCAGCTTCTCCTTCACCTGCGTGATGGTGTCACAGTTCAGCACCTTGACGGGGATCTCTGGGGCGTTCTCATTCTCAGGGTTCACACAGTTGAGGGTCTGCACAGCACAGGGAGGGCAGAGTGAGAGGTTCTGAGGTATTCGCTGTAAAGGCAGGTCCAAGGACACGGGACCATGTCTTCTCACCCTCTAGGACACTGCAGAGTTGCAGCCACGTGGCACACTCCTGCTCCTCCTTTCTCCTCACCTCTCCCTGCCACCCTCAAATCTCACCACTATTCCCAGAAAGGCAAGAGAGTGTCAGTGAAAGAATCCTGGGCCAGCAAACCATGTCCAACTCAACAAACCCTGGCTAGCCTAAGCAATGCCTGGCCACGCTTCACACCCCTCCCAGCCCCACTCTGGTGGAGAACAAAGTGGTGAAGAACCAGCTGCAGGCTCAGCCAGGGGAAGGGC